CCAAGGTTCAACATAATTTCGATTTGGGAAGAATACACTTCTAGGAGATTAACTTCCTATCTATGCTGGGGGCTGAAATGGCAAGTTAGTTCTTAGATCAACAGGCACAGCTGCGATTTGCACCAGTAAGTTAGCACAACTGTGGCAAGACAGACGGATGCACATCCCTTAATTACCACCTCCATGTGCCCTCACAACCTTGTTTTTTATTGAACCACTGGAACGTTGTGGGTTTCCCCACCCCCCCCCCTTATTCTGCACTTGTGAAATCAAGAGCAAAGACATCAGGTGCTCGCTCTGGATTTCTGCAACATGAGGTCTACTACACAGGGCGTATAATATTGTTTCAGATTACACAGTGGGAAAATACTATCAACCAGCGTATGCTTTGCACTTCTGTAGTGCCCACTGACCACGCAAGCCAACGTTCCAAAATCCAACCCCTCCGCGTTTCTTCACCTTCCTCCCGAAACATCTATAAACTGGGCTCTTCCTCGGAACGACTCAGCGCCCGAGGCTTTTAAAAGCCATCCCCACCCCCGCCCCCGCCTCACGTCCCTTGCCTTGAAGCCGCTCCGACTTGAGCAAAAAGGGTGTCAACTCAAATGCGGACTGCAGTTTTAAAAATAGTGCAGCTGCACGTGATCGGAATAGACAAGGAGCGGGAGAAAGGGGGAGGGGGGAGAGGAGTGGTCCCTCCACCGAGCCACACAAACACGTCCAAAAAGAAATAGGAGGGGGCGCAGCTGCGCGGTACCCACCATCTTGCAGTCATCCAGGGCTAGTCTCTGGGTCTTAGGGGCGCCCTCGGTGCTGCTGCTGTCTCGGCCTTCGCAGTCCCTGCTGTGCAGCGACGTTTTGCCGATTTGGAAGATCGAGCCGGTGGACCTGGGGCGCTTTTTGCGCCCATTCGGTGCAGAACTCATTCATACACATCCACCAAGCCAAAGCTGCTGCTACACGGGTGCCAGCCGCGGGGGGCAAAGATTTTCCACCACGCCAGACTCGAGTGCCGCCGCCGAAGGCGGCGGCAGCAGCAGCAGCAGCGCGTCGGTGAATCCGGTGAGAGCTCCAGAATCGCTCGCGTTCGCCGTCGCCGTCCCCCCTCAGCCTCTGCTCACAGGCGCGAGGGCTGCTCGGGCTCCGAGGAGCCTTCCGCCGGCAGGGCAGCACTCGAGGAGACGGTCGCGGTGGCTTGCAGCATCGCCTCCCGTTGGCTACGAGGCGAAGGCGGCTGAGCAACTTCTTCCTTTCAGCGCCGCCACCCGCAGCATTTCAGTCCCTGGCGCGAAAGCTGAGCGCGGCGCCGCTCTGCCCGCCCGGTCTGCAGGCAGCGGAGATCCGGGGCTGCTCGGGCAAGCGGCGCTTCCATTCAGGACGGAGGGAGACGCAGCCCTGGCCCGAGCCCGCCGTCCCCGGCCGCCCCGCTTCTTTGTGCGTCCTGCGCGCAGAGCATCAGCTTCTGGCTCGCCCCCTCCCTCGCCGCCGCAGAACAGAAGGGACGCGAAGGCATGTGCGCGTGTGTGTATCAGCCGGAGTTGGGCGCGCGCAGGCGCACGCCTCAATCGGGCGATTTGTTTCCCTGGGCTCTAATTGTTCGTCTCGAGCCGGTCTCGTCGGCGGAAGGCTCCCTTGGATGAAGACCCGACGAGAGCGAAGGGAAAGCCGTGGGGGTTGCTCCTCGAACAAGGTGTAGCCTGATGCTGCGCCCGGTTAGCGGCGAGTCAAAGCCACCGTCCTCCAAACAGCCCCTTGTACCGGGGACGGGATTAAAATAGGAGGATCCTGAGAATGTTAGAAAGCGGCTCCTTGCAAAACTGGAGTTCTGGGGCCTTCTGCAGAACCGCCTTCTAGGGCTCCCTCACGAGGCTTTAATCTCCCCCCCCCCCCCTTTTTTCCCTTTCTGCCTGGTATCACAAAAAAGCAGAGGCATAGTCTTTTCCCCCCACAACACGCTTAACCAGATGAGTTGCAAGCCTGGCAACTGCATTCAAATAGCATACTCAACTGGGTTAGTGTTTAAAAAAATCTGGATTGGTTTATTTGTGGCTTTACATATTGTGTGAACCCAACGTCTATGTTTCAGTATATTATGCAGTGCAAGAAAATCTTGTTAATTTAGTAACCAGGCTAGGTGTGTTGAGCAAACAAAGCCAAAGAATTGGATCATCCTGTGTCATCTGGATCATGAACTATCCAAGCAAACACCAGGTGCTTCTCGGGGGGGGGGGGGGATTAGATAGCAAAGGTCAAGGTTACTCATGCAGGAGAGCCAACTGGCTCAAGTGAATAAAATAACTAGGTTAATTTCCACAGACCGAGTCCCAAATTTGAACCTACTTTTGGCTAGCACTCATATTGGGTAAGTGGGCATTTGGGGATCTGAGGTGAACAATCACTAGGTTTTCATCCACAGTATTTTCCTGCAGTTCCTTGGATGTACAATGGAATGATTAATATTGATGGAGCAAAGATTTTCTAGGGATATATTGTCTTGCATTACTGTCACAAAGTCTTAAATGCACACATATATGTGTAGCCTGTCCTTAATAGCCTTTTATAATGACAGAAAAGATTCTATTATACAAACCTAAGAAACATTTTCTTTGGGAGTTACCGATATGAAACTAGCTGGCTGTACTTTCAGATCTGATGAACAGAATAACTTCTCCACCACAACATATAATTAATGTATGATATTAAGATTCGACTTTGACAACTATTGCCTTCATTATTAAATAAAGCAATCTTTTAGAGTGTCTCTCTTCACAGGTCAATTTATACAACTAATGCCAATTAAAGCACCATAATTAGTTGCAATGTACATAACTATATAAATAACCATAAGCAATATGATTATAACATGAATTATAGAATCATCCAATTATAAAATTATTCAGAGTCAGGCTTTAGGGTTCTGAAAACATAAACAATAGGGGCCACAATATATTTTCTGGAAAAAAGTTCTAAATTGAAGGGGTCAATGTAAAAAAAGGCCTATTACTGGTGCTATTCAATTTATTAGAGCCTGTTGAAAAAAAGCCTCAGAAACCTGTTGCAAGGCTCAGGTGGGTTAAGAGGAGCTTAGCCAGGCCTTTAGGGTCCCACATTGTTTAAGGTCAACATGTTTAAAGGACAGAGAATTTCACCAAGTATATTAAGGATGATCACCTTGCCTTCATTCACTGATTGCAAACCACTTTGTTCAAATGAACCCAAACATGGTTCTTAATTTTTTGTCTATTTTAAATATGTATAAATTGTGGCCTGTAAATCATATTGCTCTTGTACAATAGCAGGCAGGAAGCCTATTTGCAGCGATCATAGCTCTTCAAAGAACTCAAGGCTTGGGTTTCAAACTCAAAACATTTTGAGCATGAAATGTCCATTTGGAGGTTAAAACAGCTGTTTTGAGTTCAGAACAGGTGGTTGCATTCTTGTGAAAATGTTAAAGCTGGTTTTAGCCATTTTGAAAGTGTTTCAGGATTGAATTTAAAATAGGTGTTCTGAACTTCAGATGAGGCTGTTTCAAGCTTGGAATGCTTTTGGAAGGGTTAGAACAACTGAATGTCAGAATCAGTATTTCAAATTCAAAATGGGGCATTTCATGCTCAAATATTTTGAAATGTTTTGCAACCATTACTAAGAATTGACATAAGAACAGAGGTACTTTCACATACATAGATTTCATGCCTGAAAAGTGAGATTATACCATATAAGAATGGCTTCTATATTTATTTTTTCTACTATTCCAGTAGGTTTTTAATATGGCCATTATTAGTTTCACATAAAACCCAGGGAGCACCAGAAATGTAGAATATAGAAATACCTCTGCACTCTTTATTTCCATCTTTTCCCATACTAGTCCTGTTAAATGGATCAGACTCAAAGTTGTTTAGTAACCTTCACTTTTTTCCCTGCACAGTTGGAGAACTGAGTGTTGGTATGTCCAGCAGAGTCCAACTTGCTAACTATAAGTCACTGTGGGAAAGGCAAGGAACTGTGTGTAGTGGAGATGTGCATTCTGATTGATAGCAAGAATCTGAATGCACCAGAACTATGACAGACATTTCATTATGGGAGAAAATATAATCCAGTACTGGAGCAAGTCTGAGGTTCAATCCAAGCATCTCTAGATGGGTCTTGGAAGACTTTGTTAAAAGTTATGGAAAGCTGGTGCTAATTAGTATAGACTAATTGAGCTTGTGTTCTGTTAGATGGACTAATGCTCTGTACAAAATCCCTATGTTTCTTGTTGCTATGGTTGTTACTCTTATTTTAGCAATAATTACACTCATTTTGTTTACAGAAAGATATAACACCAGCCATGTTCTGGCATATTTGTGTTATGTGGTTACACAGGTGGAGAAAAACATAATTCTTGCCAGATCACTAGGATGAGCTAAACATGCTTGTCTCATTTTCAGAAAATATTATCCAGCATCAAATGTTGTATACAGAGAACATTCTGGGAACAGCACCTGATGAATATATATTCTAAATGATCTTGTAAGCAATCAGGGTGAAAAATATGGGCAAAAATATAGAATAAGCTAACATTTTAATATACCCATATATAGGACTATTGATTCTCCACCTTGCCCTGACATGATTTCTATACCCTTAAAAGCTGCAGGAAATGTATAAATGTAGCAGTGTGGATGTGATGGGAGAAGATTCACCTAATAAATTCTGTCTTACAGTTTTTAAAGGAATGGAAGCTGTGCTCACAAACAAACACAAACATTGACAACAAATCCAGGAAGCAATGTTTGTACATAAGTAATATATTAAGTCTTGATATCAATTTCTATTATTTCATTTATAGTCTGCATCAATGAATATTTTCTAGGAATACATATGTGTAGTAACTGCAATTTACTCCATTACAACTTTCAGAACATGTAGGCTTAGGTGATATTTTCCTTTTGAAACAAATGTATGTCCACAGATGGAGAAAATGAAACCATCTGGAAATTCAGAAATATTTCATGTAACAGAAAGCACCCTAGAATTGCATTTTTTTTTTTTTGCTTTATAATATACTACTGTTCCTAATAATAATATATATTTTTCTTCTAGCTTTTTTTCCTGCAGGTGCAGGGTTTGCATTTTCAGATGAACTGAATGTTGATCCATTGGTTGCGACAGGAATTTACTGACCGGCTTGTTGCCCGAGCATGACGTCATGCGCAGAGAGAGAGGGACTGGCCCAAAGTCACCCAGCCGGCTTTCATGCCTAAGACGGGACTAGAA